GAAAATCACCTTCATGTTTTTCTGTGTTTTATCCTCAGCTACTTTGACACAAAGGCATCTGCTGTGATGCTTACACCTTTGATAATGTGTCAGCTTTCTTTTTATAGATATAAAAATATAGAAATGTACTGATGCATGATCTGAATTATAATATTTCTGACTGTCTGAGGCAAAATTTCCCCGATTCAAATTGAATCGAATCAAATCGAATCGAATCAAATTGAATCGTGGATCGAATCGATTCTAGAAATGAGTGACGATACCCAGCCCTACTTAATACATATCAGAGTCTGTGTGTGTGTGTGTGCGAGAGATGTATAAAAGACAAGGTTATTTAAGGTCACGGAAGGCCATATTATACACTATATGTTATGTGCAGGTGGTGCATGTGGGTTTCATTGCTGGCTAGTGTCACATTCTTCCTCGCCCTGAATGTTGCAATTATATTATTATGTTAAACATATACATCCATTTTTGCTTAAAGAGTCTCTGATGAACTTTGTTACTACCAGATGACACGTACAGGCTATGCTAACCACAGGCCTCTAGCAGGCCTGTGCTTCCTTTAACCGGTTTGCACTTGTTTGGTTTCAGAATCGTGCCAGTCGTTTTAAGATAAGATAAGATAAAGCCCCACACATGAGACATTTTTTGGTCACGGCAGAAAGTACAAGTTAAGAGCAGTAAAAATTAAAGAAAAAAAGAAAAAAACAAACAATAGAATAGAATAAGACAAGATAGAATAAAATACTTTGTTATATTGGGAAATTGCACTTGATACTATTACACATCAGGGAGACAGGGAAAGTTATCACTGTGTAGATATGTCTGTGAAGGTTCATTGTGTAGAGTTTGTGTTTAGAACCTACTGTTGCTCACTTAAGACTATACTTTTAAGCACAGACTCGCACACAAAGGAGGAGCTTATGTTTAATTCAGCAAGACAAAACCTCAAGAGACAAATGAGCTGGGGCTAATGGTGGTTCAAACATGGAACGCACATTACAGAACTAATGGGCCAGGCTAGTCTTTGTTGGATACAGGCTATATGCTACAGTTGATAAGAAAAAAATAATTCAACTCTGCAGCCTAAAAATTAGAGCTTGAAGCAGTACTCACTTTATTTTAAATGTTAGCAGCAGCAAAAATCTTTGTACACAGTGCACAAATCCCCTGGCACTATTGTATATAATCACTCCTATACCGATACCAATGCAGATGTTTGAATACTCAATACTTATAACCAATATCTTTTTTAATTTATTCTTATTGTTATTTATACCCTGCTTTAGCTCTCCAACACACAATGCTTGAACATTTATCCCACAGATAATTAATGCAAATTACATCTAGGACACATATATTACTGACTAATGCGAAACCTTTGTGACCTTTCCAGTTTGGCTTATCTATTTGTGGTTAAGTCAGTTCGCAAATGATGTGGTGTCTTTATTTCTGAGGTGAAACGCCAGTAAATGTGAAAAAAGTTACACGGGGCCCAGACTCATGTTGCTCAGTAATACACAGCAAAACAAAAGCATGGCTATTGCTATTAGGTCTGAGACTGAAAAATACTATGCTCAGAAATGAACTCCCCAGAACATGTCAGCCAAGCCTCATTTAAAAACTTGTTTGACACTAATAAAAACAATTTAGTTCCATTACCGAAGCCCAAAAAAACTAAAAAGATTTTTAGAGTCACTTTTGGCTTGAGTATGACTTTTCATTCTGTCATTTGTGGTGCAGAACATGTCACTCTGGTGACTGACGGTGCCTCTGTGCATTTGCATAAAAGGTCATTACTCAATAGGTTAACATGCAACATACTGAGGCTGTCATTAAGTGATTACTTCAGAGTAATTACTTAATGCTTGAAATGCTTAATAGTCACTGGGAAGCATATTTGGTGATAAAGCAGAATGAAAGCTAGGATATTGTACTATTAAGCAAATAAAACTGACCATAAATTCCAAGCAATGTCTATTCAATCTGATGAGCACTGCAATGGAAAACAGCTCCACATCTGTTCCTCAACAGTTGCAGTAAAGTAGTCGGCAGATGCTTTGAACAAGCCCATCTGGAAGAGGAGAATATTTCCCACACACAAATCGAACCATTGCTCTTGGATTTAGGCCACAATTCAAACTCTCTTCTTCTAATGTTTGACAAACAAAGAACTCCATTTCATTCACCAACAAATAAATTATACTGTTTGCTTTTTCAAAGAATTGCTTGATTGATACCACAGTATGTTAACAGGCCAGCGGTTCTGTGTGGAAAAGCAACCTTTAAATAATGTGAGTGCTGTCAACACATTGATACAAGGTAAAAATGTAATATAAGCAACTGAAGTGAACCGTTTTTTTGTTTACAAGTTGATCAGCACAGTTCGTGTCTTTCCTGTGATCGTTTTCGGAGGAAATGAGCACACGCTCTCATTATTAGGAAACTTTTGCCAAGACAACGTAAAACTATGGCTCGATTTTTGTTTTCTGGCATTTCGCAAATTCCAATGTATAGAGCAACATCAAAAAACAGAGCACTTTAAAAAAAAGAAAACAACAACAAAAAGGAAGTAATTCCCTCTGCAACTGCCAAGTCAAATGCAAACTAAGTGCATATTTCTTCAGTCTGAATTATGTCTGTGTGAGTGTGTGTCTCGAGCCAACTGCCACAGTCTGCCAAATGACTGACAGGCCAAAAAAGCAGACTCCAAAAACATCACTCAGTAGTGAATGAGTATGTTTCGCGCAACTGAAGTGATCCATCATTAGTCAGTGATCAGTAAAGCTAATCAGTTTACTATTGCAAAATGAGTGTATGGAAAGAATCCTACACAATATTCATTTAAAAAAATCAAAAACAAAACAAAAGTGGTTACTAAGGAAGGGTTGGTTGACTAACAAAGTATTAAGGCAACTGTAACAAGCAGCAACTCTGCTCTGTGGATAAATCAATTAACTTATCTCTGGATCGCGTTTCCATTTTGCACCATTACCATTCCAGAGGCGGCAATGTGCGAGATTGACAAATTCAGCTTAAGTTGTTCTGTGAACAGCCTCACCAGATAATTATTGCTCCGGCACCAAAAGCTCTGATAGTATAAACAAACTGACTAGCGTTGGCAGGCAGCTAATGTTGCAGAACTTAGTCTGCACACACGCACACCCATACAGCCAAATTCACCTCTTTTAAAAATGTCCCAGATACAAAGTTCAACATGCTGGTTAAACATTTGATTGGTGCCAACAATAAAACTGTAAAGACATAATGTCACGAAAAGTGTTTACAAATGAGCTGTGGAAAGGTTAAGTAGTAGTTTTAAACATTTTATGATTGCAACGCTACTGAAAGCCACTTCTACCTAACGGTACAGTTTAATTCAGACCATTCCTTTCGAAATTATGTGAACATTAAAAAAGTCTGGTTTAATGTAAGAGTAGGGTTGATGGTTTTACTAGAAAATCAATGTTGCCAGAGTGTATTTACAATTTACCATCCAGACTAAAACTTTAACATTTTCTAATAAAGAACAGAGGAATCAAAGTTTTTCACTTGTTTCTTTTGTGCTTACAGACTTTCATTTTGATGATGCTTCTAATCCATGGTGTTTTTTAAAGGTTATATCTCAATCTCAAGGTTAATTTTTATAGTTAATCAATGATTTATTTTCACAGTTTTCCTCTGAAATTATTAAAACCTTTATTTCTGGTTAAATATAGACTTTTTAATATTTTTGTCTTTATAAATAACATTTGCAAGCATATTTGAGCATACATCGTGTCTGTGCAATCCGGGTATGACAGGATAATAGTCCAAGGAGCTATCATTCAGTTTTCCAAAACTTTTACCACTCAACTAGCTTATACCCTACTTCTATGGCCTTATCAAACCATTTCGCACAAACTAACAACTTCCTGTCTCGGTTTCACAGCCAGTGCTCTTTTAAGGTAAATAAAGGTTCCCTTAAAGGGAATATGTAGTTTCCAGGCACCTCTTTAGTGTGCCTGGCACCAAGTAACCATTTCCTTCAACCATCTGCACTTGGGCTGAGACCTGCTGGCATCCCCAGTTCAGATGAAGCCATAAAACTGGCAGCTAAGTATCGAAGTCTCTTACTATAATACACAAAATCTCTCTGTCTGGTTTTTGTCTGCAAGACACATATCCAAGAATTGATCAACCCAGCTTTTTAATACAAGTACATCCCAGGCCTGAAACTTCTCATCTATATTAGACAATATGGCGTCATCACGATCCTAAAATGACCTATTTGTAGTGTTTATGCACTTATAAGACCTTGTAATACTATCACAACAGTAACATCTAATTCAGCAAATATTGATTATTTTTGATTGTTAGCTTTACAGTATCAGTATTACTATACATCATTAGGCATGACAGCTTCTGAAGTAAAAGTTACAATAAAAGTTACATAAATAAAAACAAATGAATTTAAGGTAAAAGGGATTCTAAGGCATGAGAGTCAGTCTAGCCCACAAAAATTAAAAATAAATAAATAAATAAAGTAAATTTAAAAAAGAGACCTTTTTAACCAATATTTCATTATATGCTTTTTTCTCAGGCTCATGTTATTGACATTTATTACTAAAAATTAAACAATGGAAATATAAAGCCATAATGAAAAAGGACAAGCAGACCAAATAACACAGTAGTGTGGGTATGTACTAGTTTATTTCTTTAGTCTCACTGCTTGGTAGGTTTTGTTTGCTTCACAAGTGACCCCTTCGCCCATTTATTAACCTCTTTGCAGGTGTTTAGAAACTGAGTGACTGGACTGAGTTTCTCTTGTACAAAAAGTTTTTTTGTTTCTGTTTTATGAACTAAATTCAGAAATTCCTGCACGGCTGTCAGAAACTCCAGCGGCACACTTCGACATGACTCATGGCACACCACTGAGCCTTGCAACAGCACATCTGGAAACAACTGTTCTTAAACTGTGACTTACCAAACTTAACTTAAAAGTTTCAAACATCAGAGGAAGCGCCACAGACAATGCACAGTATTTTACCATAGCTTATACAATATCATAAGTCACCCTGTAGGTGAGAATGCTGCAAATAACAGTGTTTGGTGAGGGACAATTGTTAAAGCATGCTTACAGAGATGCTAAATCATAATACAGTGTAATTAATCATTTTTTATAGCAATGAATACAGTCAAAGAACACCTACATTCACTAAATTGTCACCCAAAGCATTGCCATAATAATGTCATGTTTTAGGCGAATCCCATTTCGAATAAAGTGAGTAGTAAACTGCTATTTCAAGATGAAGGACAGCAGAGGCTGCTGGACTAATAAAACTAAGCTGATTTTGGTTGGCATTAACTCCACTGCACACAGGGAGTGAAAGAGAGACAAAAGAGACATAACCATAATGACCTGCACCACACATCAGTCACTGCCAAACTGGCCTCCGTATTTAGAAATGTGCACACATGCAGATGAAGTCAAGTGGGTTAACACATAATATATGAATCAATGATGAATCACTTAGTAGTTGATGCAAATTCACAAATAAAACATTAAAGCAATGTTTCCCTGTGTTTGTGAGGCTCGTGAGACTTGTGAGGCTCGTGAGCGTGTGTCTGCATATCACTCTCAGCAGCACTCAGTGTCATGTTGCCAACAGACCAGCAATTCTGGAAACACCGCTCTAGTCTGGCTCTGAGAGAGGGGAAGAGGAGGCATGTGAGAGTGTGTTTGATAGAGTGTGTGTGTATGTGGGAGGGGGCTTTTGGTATTTGACCAGTGAGACTGAGAAGAGTTTCCCCGGCTCTGCATGTGCGTCAGTGTGCTCCTACGAGGGCTACAGCACGCTTAACCTCTCAGGGATGACTCAACTGTGTTAGTGTGCAGCGCGTGCTCCCATGGGTATTTATACATGGTGAGGTGTGAAGGAAGCCCTTTGGCTCTGTCCCTAAGGAGGGTAGCAGGGAGGCACATACTGCCTGTTCAGGGGCACGCTCTTCACATGCACAAAACCGACGGCTGCACACAAGCTAAGCCAATCTAACAGATTATGAGTCACTGATTGAAACCATCACCCTCCAACACATAGATACAAATACAACAAATAATAGCCCATCACATTCAAGCATAGTTGTTTGCTGTTGATGGTTTAGGCAGTGTAAATATGTGACACAGGAAGCAAAAAATATTGATCCTATAATTTGCTATAGCTTTGCCAAGACTCTATAGATCACTTAGCAGTTTTTCAATTATATACCTTCCATAATGTTTCAATTAAAAGCTCTACAAAGACATCATCAATGCAGTCTCTTCTTTTGCCTTGTTTGGGGTAAGAATATCTGATGATGGAAGATCCAGAACAACATAGTAGATTCCATTTAATTCCCTACTTTAATGATTTCACAATTTTAGTCTATTTCAAAGTTAGAAATCGAACAAATGTGTTTATGGCTTCTCAAATCTGCAGATTTAAGCCTTTTCTTGTATTATATGCAAGTAAACAAGACTCCCCTTGCTTCTAAACTATATGTCAGTTTCAGTTAAATATCTAAATATATCTTCTTGGTCTCTAATAAATTTGTGTCGGTATTTTTTCACAATTCGAACCTTTTATTTTGAAGCGATTAATCGATCAAAGTAGAGAAAAAAAATTATTTTCAGCCCCAGATTACTGTAAAACACACCTGCAATCAGAAAAACACACACACGACCTGTAAATATAAAGTACAGCAGCAGCCATGCAAGATAAATAAGATTTCTGAGAGAAGTGGTCAAAGATGGCACCATTAATGCTCCACAGCATGTGCAACAAAACAATAACAAACCACCACCGTATCTAGTAGTCTAACTTCCCTTACCTTCTCTGCGGAGCTTCACGGCTTCACCAAGGCAGTAAAGCTCTTTCTCGCTGTTATCCAAGGACGGGTCTGCGTCTGAACAAACAAAACAAGCACTTAGAAACACGCAGGGGCTTTCAGGAAACTTTGGGGGGCCCATGCGTGGAGCCCTACTGCCGCTCCTCCTGCTCCGGGGCTGGCTACCACCAGAGGATAGCATTAGCTTGCTAGCGCCTACGCTGGCTTCCTAAATCAAGTGGAGCTGTCAAAGCTAACAAACTTACAGCTGGACAGTTGGGGGATAGCATTACTGCACGCGACAACGACACAAACTCCGAGCGGTAACCGATAGCTTTGCTCGCGCGCATTTGTGCACGGCTGTTAAAGCAACACATCAATATTGCATTTCGTAGTAATATTATGACAGTTACTTTGCTGCGCTCTGACAGACACCCTGCATGGTGGAGGAGCTTACTCAACTCAATCACAGACAGTTGGACCACGCACTTCCCGACAGTTTGTCCGCAAAAATAACAACGCTACCCGTCGTGCGAACTTACAGTCAACAAAACGTAATTTAGCCGCACTGACGAAGGAAGACCAAGGCTCGCAAAGGAATGTATCCGGACTTGGTATTTGGCGATCCAGTGTCGCCATTGCTCTTCCTTCTTGTTGCTTTGCTGAGAGCCGTTTTTTTCTGCCTCTCCTTCGCACGCAGCAGGCGAAAAACGAAAGAACGAGATATGCTGACGTCGTTCTCGTCAGGCTTCGGCGTTGTCCGGCAACTATCGGCGGGGGCGGTTGAGGGGCTGAAAGACAGGTACAGTATGGTTATTCACGAGTTCAAAAGTTCAGCATAGTTCAGGTAAAGCCAAAAACCCATCATCACCATTTCCATAATTTAAATATTACACTAGGCTTCATTATAAATAAACAAATGCCTTTTTTTAAAAAGTATTTTTGCAATAGCATGTTTTAGTAATATTTGCCCTTCAAAAAGCTAAGAAAAACTATCTTCATGGGGGGAAAATATTAGAAATTACCTCGATGTATTCAGCCAATACTGCTAAATTTAAAAATCTATATTTTTAAAGTCCACCTGTCTCTCTACAGTGTTGTGAAAAGTACTCATTATGTCTGAGGTTGTCACGTTTACATGTTTCAGACAATCAAACTAATTTTAATATCAGACAATTTTTGAATATTGATATGATTTATTACAGCAGAAAAGCTATATACACAATTATTATTCAACAATTAGAAATAGACTGGGCAAAAATGACATCATGGGAGAGTTCCAAGGAGAAAACAACTGCTGAGCAAGAAGAACACAAAAAAACTCTTGATAATCCCCAAGACAGCATTTCATAAAAATAACATCTCACCAAAAGGCAAAAATGGTGTTGGCAGTGTGATGGAAGTTTTTGGAGTCAAAAGTCGATTAAAATGCAGATATAAATGCTTTTCTGTGACCTTAAACAAGCTGTCCAAGTCTCATTGGCAGTTATCACAAATACTTGACTGGAGTACTTGCTGCCATGGGTGGCACAACCAGTTATTAGGTTTATGGGCCAATTACGTTTTCACTCAGGTCCTAGTAGGTTTGGATTAAAAGCTGCAAACTAAAACTAAATTAAAAGCTGAATTTTACTCAGGTTATCTTTGTCTAATATTACGATGATGTCTGGGGAAAGATCCTTGGTCTTAGTTTATTTGAGGGACAGCTCAGGTTGAGTGATTTGGGGACAAAGTTAGGGAGGCAAGTTGAAATGGTTTGGAGATGTCGAGAGGAGGGGTGGTGGATATATTCATATATTCAGCCAAGGATGTTGAATATGGAGCTGAAAGGCAGATGGGAAAGAGGAAGACCTCAGAAAAGATTCATGCGAGAAGAGGATGCTAGGGATAGGGCCAGATGGAGGAAGATGATCTGCTGCTATGGTGAACCCTGAAGTGAGCAACCAAAAGAAGAAGAAGAAGAAATCTTTTTATGTTTTATCTCTATTCATTATTTATCCTCATCTTCTCTGAAACACAGTGAACATGTCAGGAACCTTGGCATTAATTCTGGACATTGAATTCAGTTTTGACGATCATATCAATGATTGCCACAACTAATGTCTATCACTTAAATCTATATCTATGGTTAAAAAATGCTTACCTCAAACTGACTCTGAGAAATTGCTTTCATATCAAGCAGGTTCAATTATTGTAATGCTCTCTCCAAATCATTCATAGGATGATTTCAGCTCATTCAAAATGAAAAATTTGACCACACTACCCAGTAATCAAGTTACATCATTTATTCCAGTTCAATATAGAGTTACCTTTGAAATCCTTTGATTAGTTCACAAAGCTCTCAATGCTTTCACCCTCAATTATATACCCGAATTGCTCAAGACACTAATAGCTCAATACAATAGGGTTTTTTTGTTTTATTATATTTTGCTGTTTTTATAGCCTTAAGTCATTGTTTTGATGTTTGATCTTCTGTGTCAAGCACATTGAGTTTACATGTAATAAAATGGCAATGGCTATTTTACTTAAAATGTAAGTAAAATAGTCATTGCCATTACCAGAGTGGGAGGCTTAATCATTAAGTTCTCTTGAACTCTCCTGTTCAGCCAGTTTCACTGAAAGCAAGCATGCACAGCGGGTCTTGTGCAGGTTGAGCTCATGGCATTACAATGACCTCTTGTGGTTAAAAAGAGAAGCTGCATTCACTGTGCAAAGAAGTACCAAACAATGGACTGGTGTACTTTTAAAACATTAATAATATCTTCTGAAGTAAATCATGTTTTTACTTATAAATGATTTTGGATGATCTCAGAGATGAGGTGCTCTTTGTGAGTTTATTTTAAGGTGTGTGTGTGTATATATATATATATATATATATGTACACACATTTTTTGCCAAAGAAAAATAAATCACGATTGTGTCCCTTTTCTCACAATATGTTTGTCGTTTCCAGTATGACAGCAATGATTAGGGATTAAGTACTCTCTGTTACACTTCCACTCCCACTTGATTGCAAATCGGTCTTGTGTTCTGAAACCTGAACAGAACAAATGGATTCAGATCACACACAACATACAGTCATCTTTTTAGGCAAATCAGAGGGGGCGTGAGAAAGACAGAGAATGGCGGAGATTACAAGGAAATGACAGCTCAGAAATGAGGGCAAGGAAATTGACTTGATTCGTTTACGCTGATGTGTCAATCAGATGAGATACAGACACAAGCACCGAGTCTGTGCATTCTTACATTATAATCTGTGCTTAAACACAATCCTTCCTGTCTTGCTTCCTGACACACACACACAAAAGATGACTCAGTCACAGTGTTGTGTTTATTTCCCCACATCGAGGTCCAACGGCCGATCAG